GGGAAAGGGTCCTGGAGATCACCAGGGGTTTGGGATCTCAGGGAGCCCATCCTGGATATCACCAGGGATTTGGGAACTCAGGGAAAGGGTCCTGGAGATCACCAGGGGTTTGGGAACTCAGGGAAAGGGTCCTGGAGATGACCAGGGGGGTTTGGGAACTTAAGGAAAGGATCATGGGGGTTTGGGAGCTCAGGGAAGGGATCCTGGAGATCGCAGGGGGGCTTGGGATCTCAGGGAACCCATCCTGGAGATCACCAGCGGGTTTGGGATCTTAAAAAAAGGATCATGGGGCTCTAGGATTTCAGGGAACCCATCCCAGAGCTCAGGGGAGTTTGGGATCCCTGGGAACCCATCCTGGAGATCACCAGCGGGTTTGGGATCTTAGGGAAAGGATCACAGGGATTTGGGATCTCAGGGAACCCATCCTGGAGATCACAGGGGTTTGGGATCTCAGGGAAAGGATCACAGGGATTTGGGATCTCCCGTCCTGGAGATCACAGGGGTTTGAGATTTTAGGGAATCCACCCCAGAGCTCAGGAGGCTTTGGGATCTCAAGGAATTCATCCTGGAGATCACGCAGGGCTTGGGATCCCAGTTAAAGCCCCCGGGGCTCCGGTTAAACCATTCCAGAGTGGTGGGGATCCCAATTCCCCCACCCCGGATCTCCTAAATCCCCCAATCACGGGGCACCCCTGGGTGCTGGGTGTCCCCTGGTGTCCCCTGGTGTCCCCTGGTGTCCCCTGACCCCGCTGTCCCCCCCCAGGCAGCAATTTCGGGGGCGGGGGCAGCTACAACGACTTCGGCAGCTACAACAACCAGGCCTCGAGCTTCGGGCCCATGAAGGGCGGCAGCTTCGGGGGGCGCAGCTCGGGGCCCTACGGCGGCGGTGAGTGCCCAAAATCCCACCTGGGAACCCCGAAAACCACATGGGGGGACCCCAAAATATCCTAAATGTACTGGGGCAGCTTCGGGGGGCGCAGCTCGGGGCCCTACGGCGGCGGTGAGTGCCCAAAAACCACCTGGGGAACCCCAAAAATCACCTGGGGAACCCCAAAAACCACCTGGCGGGACCCCAAAATCCCACCTGGGGAACCCCAAAATATCCTAAATGTACTGGGGCAGCTTCGGGGGGCACAGCTTGGGGCCCTATGGCGGCGGTGAGTGCCCAAAATCCCACCTGGGAACCCCGAAAATCCACCTGGGGAACCCCAAAAACCACCTGGGGAACCCCAAAATTCACCCGAGGAATCCCAGAAATCACCTGGGCGACTCCAAAAATCACCTGGGGAATCCTAGAAATCACCTGGGGGCAACCCCAAAAATCACCTGGGGGAGCTTAAAATGTATTGGGGTGGCCTTAAAATAACCTGGGCGGGCCTCAAGATGTGCTGGGAAGACCCCAAAATAAACAGGGGAGATCCCAAAGTGTCCTGGTGGGGGTCCTGTGTCACTGGGGGTCCCCAAGTGTGTCCCCCCCCCCATTTTTGGGTGTCCCTAAATCCCCTGTGGCTCCACAGGCGGCTACGGCAGCTCCAGCGGCGGCGGCAGCTACGGAGGAGGGAGGAGGTTTTAACGGCCAGGTGAAGAAAAATGGGGGGAAAAACGGGGAAAATGGGTGGGGAGAGTACGGGAAAAGGGTGGGGAAAATCGGGGAAAATACGTTAAGAGAATTGAGGGAAAAAACAAGGGAAAGGTGAAGGAAAAGAGAAAGTTGGGGAGGAAGGTTCGGGGAGAAAAGTGGGAAAAGGGGAGGGAAAATATGAAGTGGGAAAAGAAGGAAAAAGGATGGGAATCAAGGGGAAGGGTGGGAAGGGGTGGAGGTGGGAATTGCAATGGGAACCGGGGCAGGGATGGGGCTGAAACTGGGGCCAGGATCAGGATCGGGATTGGGGCAGGGAACAGGGAAGGGATCAAGGCAGGGATGGAGCGAGGTCGGGACAGGGATCAGAGCAGGGTCAGGGCTGGGATCAGAGCAGGATCAGGGCTGGGATCAGGGCTGGAACCAGGGCAGGATCAGGACAGGGATCAGAGCAGGGTCAGGGCTGGGATTGGGGCAGGATCAGAGCAGGGTCAGGGCTGGGATCAGGACAGGGATCAGAGCAGGGTCAGGGCTGAGATCAGAGCAGGGTCAGGGCTGGGATCAGAGCAGGGTCAGGGCTGGGATCAGGACAGGGTCAGGGCTGGGATCAGGACAGGGTCAGGGCTGGGATCAGAGCAGGGTCAGGGCTGGGATCTGGGCAGGATCAGGACAGGGATCAGAGCAGGGTCAGGGCTGGGATCAGAGCAGGGTCAGGGCTGGGATCAGGACAGGGTCAGGGCTGGGATCAGGACAGGGTCAGGGCTGGGATCAGGACAGGGTCAGGGCTGGGATCAGAGCAGGGTCAGGGCTGGGATCTGGGCAGGATCAGAGCAGGATCAGGACAGGGATCAGAGCAGGGTCAGGGCTGGGATCTGGGCAGGGTCAGGGCTGGGATCAGAGCAGGATCAGGACAGGGATCAGAGCAGGGTCAGGGCTGAGATCAGGGCAGGATCAGAGCAGGGTCAGGGCTGGGATCAGGGCAGGATCAGAGCAGGGTCAGGGCAGGATCAGAGCAGGATCAGGACAGGGATCAGAGCAGGGTCAGGGCAGGATTGGGGCAGGATCAGAGCAGGGTCAGGGCTGAGATCAGAGCAGGGTCAGGGCTGAGATCAGGGCAGGATTGGGGCGGGATCAGAGCAGGGTCAGGGCTGAGATCAGAGCAGGATCAGAGCAGGGTCAGGGCAGGATTGGGGTGGGGATCGGGGCTGGGCCTGGGGCTCTGCCCCTCCTGGAGGCCCCGGCACTGGAGCCACTCCTGATCCCAGTCCCAGCCCTGACCCAGACCCTGAGCCTGCCCCAATCCCGATCCTGACCCAGACCCTGAGCCTGCCCCACTCCTGATCCTGACCCAGACCCTGAGCCTGCCCCACTCCTGATCCTGACCCAGACCCTGAGCCTGCCCCACTCCCAGTCTCAATCCTGATCCCGATCCTCACCTTGCCCCAGCCCCAGTCCCAACCTTGACCCTGCCCTAATCCTGATCCTTATCCTGAGCCTGATCTTGCCCCAGTCCTGATCCTGAGCCTGATCCCGACTCCAACCCTAGTCCCAGTCCTGACCCTGCCCCACTCACAGTCCCAGTCCTGATCCCGATCCCAACCCTGATCCCAATCCCAACCCTGATCTGATCCTGCCCTGATCCTGCCCTGATCCCAATCCTGATCTGATCCTGCCCCAATCCTGATTCCAATCCTAACCCTGATCTGATCCTGCCCTGATCCTGCCCTGATCCCAATCCCAACCCTGATCTGATCCTGCCCCAGTCCTGCCCCAATCCCAACCCCGATGCCGACCCTGACCGTGTCCGTCTGTCCCGCAGGAGCCGGAGCTGGGCGGGAGCTGGGGCTGCCCCTGGAGCCAGCGCGGGCCGGGCCGAGCCCCCGGGACCCCTGGGACCCCTGGGACCCCCCCAGGACCCCCGGGACCCCTGGGACCCCCCCGGGCTGGCCGTGCCCAGGTCCCCCCGCAGTTCCCGAGGAGCGGCCGCAGTTCCCCGCTGTGTCCTGTACCCCCCCCCCCTCAATAAATGTCTCTTGGGTTTTTTTTTTAATTATTTTTTAATTATTATTGTTCATTTTAGAGGCGGGGCGGCTGCTCTCCTCCTGATTGGTCGCTGCAGCTGTCAGTCACGGCCTGGCTCCGCCTCCCTCACCCTTCCTCTGTTGTCACCCTGGGTGTCCCCAGAGGGTCCCTGGGTGTCCCCAAGTGTCCCCAGGGTGTCCCTGGGTGTCCCCACCCCCCTGTCACTAATTGCCACCGTTCCCTTTTGTAGGAGCCGCCGGGTGTCCCCGGGAGAGGAGCCCGCGGAGGTGAGCGTGGGGACACCGGGGACACCTGGGGACATTTGGGGACAGCCCCGGCCGGGCCACCCCCCCCAGCCCCATCCCCACGCCCACGGGACCCCCCCCAGTGTCCCCAATAAAAGGGTATTTTTGTACCTGTGTCCCGTGTGTGGGGACAGGGAGGGACCTGGGGACACCAGGGGACACTGGGGGGACAGGGACACTGTGGGGACAGAGACACCCACCATGGGGACAGGGATGCCGTGGGGACAAAGCGGCCATGGAGGGGACAGAGATAGGGACAGGAATTGAGGGGATGGAGAGGACAGGGACAGGAGGGTGGGGGACATCATTTTGGGGTGGGGGACACCGATTTTGAGACCCCAGAGGGAGCAAAGGCCACGTGTGACCCCGGAGGGGACAGGGCCAGCAGGTGACGGCGGGAATGTGGCACCCGGGGGTGGCAGGAGCTGGGATGTGTCACCAGGATTTGTCACCCCTGGGTTGTGTCACCATCCCTGAGCACCTCCCAGCCCTGAGGGGACAGCAGCAGCAGCGGGAGGTGACAGGAATGTGTCCCCGCGGGGCACTGAGATCACAGCAGGCAGGGCTGGCAGGGTGGGAGGTGACGCTGCTCATGTCCCCCACCCGTGTCCCCAATGTCCCCTCCATGTTCCCAAGACCTGGGAGGGGACGCTGGCCCGTGTCCCTGTCCCCGATGTCCCCTCCATGTTCCAAACCCCTCAATGTCCCCAATTGTCCCAAATCGCCCCCAGTTGTCCCCAATGTCCCCCCATGACCCCGAGTGACCAAAGGGCAGGCGAGGCCCCGCTCACAGAAGGCGTGGCCACGAGAGGGGCGTGACCAACAGCAGAATTATGCTCTTCCGGTCACGTGCTCACCAAACAAGCCAATCGTAGCCCGGGCCAGGCAAGGGGGTGACGTCAGCGCTTCCCCGGTCACTATGGCAACTGCACCGCCCCTCCGCTTCCGGGAGCGCCGTGTCGCGGTGATTGACAGCTGGCTCCTCCAATCACCGCCAGTCTGCGGAAGCGCGGGAAAGATTGGCCCTCCCACCGCGCGGGAGCGCGCGGCGATTGGCGGGATTGAGGCGGAGTTGGGCCAATCAGACCGGAGAGGTGGGTGCTACGGGAATGATTGGCAGGCGAGCAGCCAATCAGCGGCCGTCGCTCTTCCGGCTCCACGTCGGCAGCGGCGGAGGCAAAATGGAGGCGCTGGTGCTGGTGAGGGCCGGGGGGAACTGGGAGGGACTGGGGGGAACTGGAGGAAACTGGGGTGGACTGGGATGGACTGGAGGGAACTGGGATGGACTGGGGGGGACTGGGGGGAACTGGGATGGACTGGGATGGACTGGGGGGGACTGGAGGGAACTGGGGGGAACTGGGATGGACTGGGAGGGACTGGGATGGACTGGGAGGGACTAGGGGGGACTGGGGGGAATTGGGAGGGACTGGGAGGTGACACATTTCTGGGTGCCCAGGTCGGGGTTCTGTCCTACACTGGGCTGTGGCTCTGGGCAGTCAGTGACACTGGGGACACTGGGGACAGTTTGGTGGCAGTTTTGGTGGCACTGGTGACATTTCTGGGTGCCCAGGCCGGGGTTCTGTCCTACACTGGGCTGTGGCTCTGGGCAGTCAGTGCATCACAGAACTTGGTCCTGGGGACCCGCAGCGACACCGGGGGGACACGGGGACGGGCCATGGTGACGGGGACAGGGGACACAGGGACCCCCAGCAGTGCCGTGACCCTGGCACAGCCCCCCCGGTGTCCCTGGTGCCGGGGCCACGGCTGGCCCTGTCCCAGGGGTTGTGTCCCTGTCACCGTCCCCGTCCCCAGGAGCCGTCCCTGTACACGGTCAAGGCCATCATCATCCTGGACAACGACGGCGAGCGGCTCTTCGCCAAGGTGGGGACACCTGGGGACACCTGGGGACACCTGGGGACACCTGGGGACACTGCCCTGAGCGGGCTGTGCCTCTGGGAGGGCACAGGGCGGGTGGCCCAGGTGCCAGGGGTTGGCGATGTCCCTGTCCTGTGTCCCCAATGTCCTTGATGATGTCCCCAACTCTGTCCCCGATGTCCCAGTACTACGATGACACGTACCCCAGCGTGAAGGAGCAGCGCGCCTTCGAGAAAAACATCTTCAGCAAGACACACCGCAGTGACAGTGAGTGACACTGGGGACACCGAGGGGACATGGGGACACTGAGGGAACACAAACACACTGAACATCTTCAGCAAGACACACCGCAGTGACAGTGAGTGACAGTGGGGACACTGAGGGGACAATGGGGACACTGAGGGGACACAAACACACTGAACATCTTCAGCAAGACACACCGCAGTGACAGTGAGTGACAGTGGGGACAATGAAGGACACACAGGTGACACAGGTGACAGTGACACTGTCCCCAGGTGAGATCGCGCTGCTGGATGGGCTGACCGTGGTGTACAGGGGTGGCACAGGGGTGGCATACGGGTGACACAGGTGACGCAGGTGACACAGGTGACGCAGGTGACGCAGGTGACGCAGGTGACACAGGTGACACTGTCCCCAGGTGAGATCGCGCTGCTGGACGGGCTGACCGTGGTGTACAAGAGCAGCATCGACCTGTACTGCTGTGTCATCGGGAGCGCCACCCAGAACGAGGTGGGGACATGGGGGTGGCACGGGGACACGGGGACAGGGTGGGGACACAGCGGGGACAGCGTGGGGACAGGGTGGGGACATTGGGGACAGGGTGGGGACACAGCGGGGACAGCGCGGGGATGGCGTGGGGGCACTGCGGGGACAGGGTGGGGGCACAAGGACACCCGGGGCTGCTGCGGGACCCTGGGGTGGCAGAGGGGACACTGTGACCCCGTGTGACCCTGCTGTCCCTCTGTCTGTCCCTCTGTCTGTCCCTCTGTCTGTCTGTGTGTCCCCAGCTGATGCTCACGGCCGTGCTCAACTGCCTGTTTGACTCGCTGAGCCAAATGCTGAGGTAGGGACACCTGGGGACATTGGGGACACCTGGGGACATTGGGGACACCTGGGGGTGTTGGTGTCCCCCAAGGGCTCTGGGGGGGTTTGGGGGAGCCTGGAGGGGGGGATCCCGTGTCTGGGGTGTCCCCTGGGTGTCCCCTGGGTGTCCCCTGGTGCCAACGCTGTCCCCTGGGTGTCCCCTGGGTGTCCCCAGGAAGAACGTGGAGCGCCGGGCGCTGCTGGACAACATGGAGGGGCTGTTCCTGGCCGTGGACGAGATCGTGGACGGAGGGTGGGGCTGTCACCCCCCTTTCACCTCCCCTGTCACCCCTGTCACCTCCCCTGTCACCTCCCCTGTCACCTCCCCTGTCACCCCCCTGTCACCTCCCCTGTCACCTCTCCTTGGGGTCTGTCACCCCCCAGTGCTGAGGTGTCCCCCTGTGCCCCTGTCCCTCTCTCTCCCCTGTCCCCCTGTCCCCCTGTGCCCCTGTCCCTCTGTCTCCATGTTCCCATGTCCATCTGTCCCCCCTGTCCCCATGTCCCTCTCTCCCCCTGTCCCCCTGTCCCTGTGTGCCCCTGTCCCCATGTCCGTGTGTCCGTCTGTCCCCCTGTCCCTGTGTCCCCTTGTCCCCATGTCCGTGTGTGCCCCTGTCCCCATGTCCGTGTGTCCCCTTGTCCCCATGTCCATGTGTCCGTCTGTCCCCATGTCCATGTGTCCGTCTGTCCCCCTGTCCGTGTGTCCCCTTGTCCCCATGTCCGTGTGTCCGTCTGTCCCCTCAGGGTGATCCTGGAGAGCGACCCCCAGCAAGTCGTGCACCGCGTGGCCGTGCGGGTACGGGGCTGGGCCGGGGGGTTTGGGGTTGTTTTGGGTTTTTGGGGGTCTCAGGGGTTTTTGGGGAGTTTTGGGAGATGTGCGGTTTTTGGGGGTATTTGGGGTTTTTGGGGGGATTTGGGGTTTTTGAGGGGATTTGGGGTTTTTGGGAGGATTTGGGGTTTTTGGGGGTATTTGGGGTTTTTGGGAGGTTTTGGGGTTTTTGGGGGCATTTGGGTTTTTTCTGGGGGCTTTTTGGGGGTCTCAGGGGTCTGGGGGGCAGCTCAGGGGGGTCCTGGGTGCCCCCCCCTGCCCCAGGCACCCACTGTCCCCCCCTGTCCCCCCCTGTCCCCCCTGTCCCCCCCTGTCCCCGCTGCCACAGGGCGAGGACGTGCCCCTGACGGAGCAGACGGTGTCGCAGGTATGACCCCAAAAACCCCTCGGACCCCCCCAAAAAACCCCTGGGACCCCCCCAAAAAACCCCTGGGACCCCCCCCAAAAAACCCCTGGGACCCCTTGGGAACCCCCAAGCCTCCTGGGACCCCCCTGAAAACCCCCTGAGACTCCCCAAAACCCCTGGGACCCCCCCCCAAAAATCCCTGAGCCTCCTCAAAATCCCCTGGGACCCCCTCCAAAAACCCTTGAGACCCCCCCCCAAAAAAAACCCCTGGGTTCCCCCAAAACCCCTCCTGGGACCCCCCCAAAACCCCTGGGTCCCCCCCCAAAAAATCTCCTGAGCGATCCCTGGGACCCCCCCCCCCCCAAACCCTTCCTGGGACCCCTTTGGGCCCCCCAAAACCCCCCTGGGCCTCCTCCAGGACCCCCCCCCAAAAACCTCCTGGGCCCTCCCAAACCTCCCAGGGGTGTCCCCAGGTGTGTCCCCAGGGGGTGTCCCCAGGTGTGCCCAGGTGTGCCCAGGTGTGCCCAGGGGGGTGTCCCCGGGTGTGTCCAGGTGTCCCCAGGGGTGTCCCCGGGTGTGCCCAGGTGTCCCCAGGGGGGTGTCCCCGGGTGTTGCCCAGGTGTCCCCAGGCGTGCCCAGGTGTCCCCGGGTGTGTCCAGGTGTCCCCAGGGATCCCCAGGTGTCCCCAGGGGGGTGTCCCCAGGTGTGTCCCAGGTGTCCCCAGGCGTGCCCAGGTGTCCCTGGGTGTGTCCAGGTGTCCCCAGGTGTGCCCAGGGTGTGTCCCCCACCCGTGTGTCCCCCCAGGTGCTGCAGTCGGCGAAGGAGCAGATCAAGTGGTCCCTGCTGCGTTAGGGGGACCCCCCCGGGACCCCCCAAACCTCCTGGGACCCCCAGGACCCCCCCGGGACCCCCCTGGGACCCCCCAGAACCTCCTGGGCCCCCCCCGTGGCCCCCAACACGCCGGTGCCCCCCCCACGCCGTGTGCTGCTGCTCTGTGCCCGCGCCGCCCCGGGGATTTTGGGGGGATTTGGGAGGATTTGGGGGATTTTGGGGGGTTTAGGGGCCTTTAGGGTTCCCCCCAACAAGGGGGTGTCCCCAACCTGCCTGGGGGGACACAAGGGACACAAAAGGGGGGGGCAGAGCTGGGAATGGGACCCCCCTGGGGACCCCCAGATCCACCTGGGACCCCCCTGGGGACCCCAAATTCCACCTGGGTACCCCAAACGCCCCTGGGGACCCCACAATCCGTTTCTGAGCCCCCCCAACAGCCGAGGGCTGGAGTCAAACCCGGTCGTTTATTGGGGTGAAGCGGGGGGGGGACAGGCTGGGGGGGGCAGGGGGCCCCCCAAACCCCCCCGCCCGCTATTGCTTTGCTGAGTCACAGTTTCACTGGGGGGGGCCCCAAAATTGGGGAGGGGTCAGTGCTGGGGGGGGGGCCCAAAATTGGGGTTCAGTGCCAAGGGATGGGGGGGGGCCCAAAATTTAGGGGTTCAGTGCCGGGAGGGGCCCAAAAATGGGGGGGGGGGTCAGTGCAAGGTTTGGGGGGGGGCAGTGCAAGGTTTGGGGGGGGGCAGTGCAAGGTTTGGGGGGGCTCTGGTGATAAGGGGGGGGGCACAGTGATAGTGGGGGGGGGCTGTGAGGGGGGGGTGCAGGATTTTGGGGGGTCACAGTGATGGGGGGGTCCGGGATTGTTTTTGGGGGGGTCACAGTGATGGGGGGGTCCGGCAGTTTTGGGGTGGGGGGGTCACAGTGATGGGGGGTGCAGGAATTTGGGGTGGGGGGGTCACAGTGCTGGGGGGGTTGCAGGATTTTTTTGGGGGGGTGCAGGATTTTTTGGGGGTGCAGGATTTTTTTTGGGGGGGGTCACAGTGCTGGGAGGGGTTTCAGGATTTTGGGGAGGGGGGGATGCAGGATTTTTGGGGGGGGGGGGGGGCACAGTGCTTGTGGGGCCGTACCATGTATGTGTGTTTGGGGGGGGTTGTTATTTACAGGGGGGGTGCCCCGGCCCCCCCCGCGCGGTTATTGCAATGGGCTGGGCCCAGAGTGGGGGGGGGGGGGCCTTGGGGGGGGGGCGATTTTTGGGGTCCCCCGGGGCTGTGCGGGGCTCGGTGCCCTCAGTGCAAGAGGTCATGGCTTGGGGGGGCCCGGGGGGGGGGGGTCCCGGGGATTGGGGGACCAAGGGGGGGGTCCCGGGTGGATTTGGGGGGGTCCCGGGTGGATTTCGGGGGGTCCATCCCTCGAGCCATCGCTGATTGCTGAGCAGATCCCTGAGGTGCCGGGGGGGGGTGGGAAGGGGGGGGGCTCTGGGGACCCCCCCCCCCCGGACCCCGCCCCCAGCCCGGGGGGGTCCCGGTCCCCGGGGTTTGTGCGGTGGGGCCGGGGGGGGTCCCGGAGGGGGGGGGGGGGGCTCGGTGTTTTCCTGCCAAATCTCCAAATTCCAGTTAAAAAAACAAAAACGCTGAGCCCTGGGGGGGGGGGAGGAGAACGGCTGGGGCGGCGTTGCCAGGAGACGATGGTTTGCTAGGAGACGATGGTTGCCAGGAGACGATGGTTGCTAGGAGACGATGGTTGCTAGGAGATGACGGTTGCTAGGAGATGACGGTTGCTAGGAGAGGTTTCCACGTGCAGCTCTGGGTGCGGGCGGTTGCCAGGGGCAGCTCTGGTTGCCAGGTAACCGTTGCCAGGGAGCCGTTGTCAGGTAACCGTTGCCATGGGCAGCCCCGGTTGCTGGGTAACCGTTGCCACGGGCAGCCCCAGTTGCCGGGTAACCGTTGCCAGGAGGTTCCCGGTTGCCAGGCAACGGTTGCCAGGCGCCGGCCGTTGTCCGGTTGTCCCCAGGGCGGTTCCAGGATTTGTCCCAAGGAATGTTCCAGGCTTTGGGGGGGCGGGGGCGTTCCAGGCTGTTCCCAGGGGCTGTTCTGGGGTGGGGGGGGGCGGTCGCTGTCCCTGTGTCTGTCAGTCTGTCCCATGTCCGTCTGTCCGTCCGTGCGGTGTGTCCCGGCCGCGGGGCTGTGTCTGTCAGTCTGTCTATCTGTCAGTCTGTCCCATGTCAATAGGGTGTGAAGAGCAGCGGGGCGTGTCCCTGTGTCTGTCTGTCAGTCTGTCAGTCTGTCCCATGTCCGTCTGTCCGTCAATAGGGTGTGAAGAGCAGGGGGGGCGTGTCCCTGTGTCTGTCAGTCAGTCAGTCTGTCCATCAATAGGGTGTGAAGAGCAGGGGGGCTGTGTCAGTCCGTCAGTCTGTCTGTCAGTCTGTCCATCAATAGGGTGTGAAGAGCAGGGGGGCGTGTCCCTGTGTCTGTCAGTCTGTCTGTCAGTCTGTCAGTCAGTCTGTCAGTCAGTCTGTCTGTCCCATGTCCATCTGTCCATCAATAGGGTGTGAGGAGCAGGGGGCGTGTCCCTGTGTCTGTCAGTCAGTCTGTCAGTCAGTCTGTCAGTCTGTCTGTCAGTCTGTCAGTCTGTCTGTCCCATGTCAATAGGGTGTGAAGAGCAGGGGGGCGTGTCCCTGTGTCTGTCAGTCAGTCTGGCAGTCTGTCCATCCCATGTCCATCAATAGGGTGTGAAGAGCAGGGGGGCGTGTC